AATTGTCAGTTGTTAAAGCAGTGGTTTTGGACTTCAATCGATTCGTGGCTTTGATTAATTGCATTGTAATTCGCAATTGCCGTAAATTTAATAATCGCCACTCAATTCAAGCCATCATCCCCTGGGAACTCTATTAGGCCCGACAGCATTATCGTATTTAAAATATACTTATTGGAAAAAAGACTTTAATTATCTCGAAATAAATTGCAATTCAATAGTAATTATTAAGCTAATTATGAGAGAGATAATTAGTACTTGACAAGAATTAAAAATAATAAAAGTTATGAACATCCTTATGAGTCAAATATTGGTAACCAGATATGATAGATATGGCTAGATATAACCCCACAATTGGTATTCCATTAGCCCTCTAATATTTACCCAGACACAGATGAATTTTTTAGACTCTTCTGTGTACTTAGCCCACTTGTATTGAACTTATTCAGTGGCTCATTATCAGCAATATCGAAGGCAAACAAATTCACACGATTCACCTGCCAGGCCAGCCAGCCGGTAACTCCCAAGTGGGCGGAGGAGTAGTACTATTTCGAAATACTCCAAAGCGGGGCCAGGGTCAGGGGAATGTTACACGATATAATGAATAAAGCCCAGTGGAGCTGTGGCACTCACCTTGTTGCCGATTGTGTTTGTTTTTTTTTAATTTTTATTAAAAACGATGAGTTACCAGCAGCACAGCAGCCTCGGGAGCAGCAGAAACATTAAAGCGTTGACCTCGTAGCACTTGTCGATAGTTTAGAAAAATGTGTGTGTTTTTTACAGAGTTTTTCGTCTAAAGATTAAAAATAGTTTTTCGATAACGTTTTTTATTTGAAAAAAATAATCATAAATTGATAGAGGTCTCCACGCGATCAGTGTAACATTTCAACGACCTACAATTCAATTAAATGGAAGTTAGACGCAGCCACTAACTAAGAGCACTGAGTTTAAGGTGTAAAATGAGGTAATTTCGTATTTAAAAGGCAGGTAAAAAAAAAAAAAAAAAAAAAATGCTGAGCAAAACTGGTTTTTTGATAACAGAAGAGCGGTGTGGCTGATGAATCCAAAAACACAATAAAACCCAAAAAAAAAAAAAGAGAAGAGCGAGCTGGAGAGAGCAAACCGGAAAGCTAGAAACAAAAACAATAACCTCGGCCAGCGCTATTTCAGAAAGCGAAAAGCAGCGTCTAACTGTAGTTTTCTTTTTAAAACAAATCGGCTAAAGCACATGTACGCCCCCCACTCTCGCACACTCTTGCAAAGACACATCATATGTTTTTGAAACATTCAATAGCCCACAGTGGGCTAAAGCAACAAGCATATTAATTGGATTTTTTTTGAGAATCTAAGATACATTTCCGGAAATTCGAAAGATAGTTCCTACAGTTAGACAGCTAAATTCTAACCTCCAACTATGCAATTCGACCCACTGTGCCTTCGCAAAGACAGTATTTGCAAAGACAGTCTCGCAACCGCAAAAACACAGAGCCAAAGACACGGCAAGAGCCACAAAAACGACAAATGCGGCTGCAATCCAATTAATACAGTTTATTGAAATTATTTTAAACAAAACACACACAGCAAGGCAAACATTTATTGACAATCTGGTAAAGATTTTTGAAATTTTTGTTGGCGTCACTCTCTGCTCTCTTTTTCGTCTGGCAAACGCAATCACTAACACACACACAGTCGAGCCTACACTCACACACACACACACACTCGGGGGCAACAACAATAGGCGCTGACTGTGTCGATTGTTATTTAAACACTGTATCTTTCTGGTTTTTTTTTTTTATTTTTTTCTTTCTAGCCACGCGACATTCGATGATGTGGGTAGAATTTTTTAAGAATTAAACATTCAATTAACTTTAAATTGAAGCATTCTGGCCCACAACAAAAACAAAAACAATCGAAAATACAAAAACAAAACAAACACTTGAGGCGGCGCGACGTGGAAGGCGGCTAAGTTTCGATTCCGTCTCTCTGGCTTTCTGCCCGCTTCTTTATTTTTCTTTAATTTAACATTTTCGGTTCGACTCAATTGGACAATATTTTTGAATTACATAAAAACTACAAGGCGATTTTTAAGTGGCACATTTTGATCCAAAAAGTCAACCTTATTCGTCAGCCGGCGCTGTTTTTTATTTTTTATTTATTTTATTTTTACTTTTCGTGGCATCCGTGTTGTGATGCTTCTTCTTCGAGTGCGCGTTTGTCACTAACAGCAATAACAGATGTTGACTCTAACAGCTGTTACTGTTGCCGACTAACAGTTTACTAGATTTTTTTTCAGTGCTGCAACATGTTTGTTTCGAACAGATTTGAGATTTTTCGACGTTTTCCAACACAGGGCTGCAAAAAATCGCGCGCGCAAGAATATTCAAAAACATAAAATAAAGATAAATTTTTAATCTCATTAAATAGAAAATTCCTTCTATTTTTTTACACAATACTTTTAAAATTCATACAGTGCAAGGAAACATGAGTTTGAATCCTGGATTTTAAGGACATTTCTTGTTCTTGTCTTTTTTAGAGCCTACTAGCCTGGTCACTCTAAAAGGCATATGTTTATATTACTTCGATCAAACAAAAAGAAAAAAAATTGTACTTGGAGGTTTTCCAGAGAAAATGCTCAACTTGTGAATCGAGAAAACTACTTTCAACACCTCCGAAATGGACAAAAACCTGGATGAGGTCCGTTTTATCTCAGGAAAAGTTCCATCAGACTAAGCTCCACCAGATACTTACTTTGGCAAACGCCCTCGCATTTTTTTTCAGGTCAAAGCCAGCGTACAAAAGAAGTTCAATGAAATCCGAGCAGCGCTGCATATGCGCGAGAAGCTGCTACTCCGCCAGCTGGAGGTCATCGCAAACACCCGACAACAACAGCAGCTCCTAAAGGGCTCACCCGGAGTGGAGGTCCAGAGCGGAGTGCAGTTCGTCACGGGCGAGGATGACGGGAAGGAGGAGAAGCTTATGACCGCCATCCGCAGCTATGGGCACTTCCTGCTGGACAACAGTGACATGCAGTTGGCGCTGCAGGACTACCGAACCTCGGGCCTTCGCAACGAGGACTACATAGAGCCGCTGGACGATCACGAGACCATGTACAAGTGCCTGCAGGACGGGAATGTGTCGTACTACGATCTCGACGAGGACGGGGCCCCACCCGAAGCCATTGTGGTGGACTTCTCGCGAAACAGATCGCTGGTAGAGGACAATGCCAAGCGCTCCATCATAAACATCACTCTCCAGGAGGCCAAGGATCTGATTCGCAAGGCCAGGATCAAGAGGGAGACGTACGTACCGCCGCTAAACCTTGAAGAGCTGGACGACGAGCTAGAGTCCTCGATAGCCGAGGCAGTGTCCAGCTTGGGACGCGAGTCCTCGGCCAAGTCAAAGTCCAGCAGTGCTGTGGAGCAGCACCAGCAGCCGCCCAAATCAAAGACCCGGAAGCAGCGCTTCAAGCCAAAGATAACCATCAACAATTGCAACGGTACCATAAACCTGCGCAACATCGCCAGTTTGACCATCAACTGCGCAAGCGAGGAGGCTGTCAGCGCCGAGATTCCCCTGGCCAAGTCCGCTGACTCCAGCACCACCGAACCCTCCAATTCCACGCCAACGACCACAGCTTCCAGCTCGAACTACTCCAGCAATGCCAGCTCCAGATCCCAGTCCAAGAAGCAGAAGAGCAGCAGCAACAAAAAGCAGGAGAGGAACACCGAACCCAGTTCCGAAACCACACCTACTCCGGGCAACGTCTCCCACCGCGGAGGCTGTGAGGAAACCGACATCCACGACGTGACCTGCGATTTCTACAATCGGCTCCTGAACGAAATCAAAAAGAGCATGGTGGAGAAACCACGCCGGACGTACCACCCAGTTGCAGCCGAGCCGGTGCGAGCTGCCGCCGCAGATTCCAGCTGCGATGCCAACTCCAATCCCAGGCGAGTGCCACCCAAGCAGGAGCCAGTCTCCACCACTTCCAACACACAGAGCGATACCACCACGGGGCCGCAGGTGCAGCCGGGCAAGCGGCTGATCTTGAAGAACTTTGAGAATCTCAGGATCATCCTGGAGGCCAATAGCGGCGACGAGGACTCGTTTCATCCCGTTCAGATTGAACAGTGGCTGGCGGAGATCATCTCGGAAACGGACCTAGAGCCGATGCAGAACACTGACATATTGGAGCACAGTCGCATCCACAGTAGCGACAGCCCATAATCCAGTCCAGAGGGACAATGAGATTCCAAAATATTTATCCTTAAAGCACTCAGTATTCTGAACTATTTAAATGTTTTTAGTTTAGTTTAAGTTCTTAAATTGTTTATAGTTTAAAAAATAGTTTAGGTTTTATTAACCTCGAAGGAGGTTTTATTCCATCTGCATCCAAATCCTCGTCCTAAAACCCATTTCCATACCATTAAGTAGAACATTATTCCATCAGATTCGAAAACACCCGTTGTTTTATGTACTTTTGTGATTATTTTTTATGATTTTGTAAGACTTTGAAATTGTAGCAACCTAGCCAAGTAAGCTAGCCCCTCCAGGCAGTGTTCAGCGCTCATTTGTAAATGCAATCGAGTAGGAGAGTCCACATATTAAAGTGTTAATTGCCATCACCCAGAAACCGCTTTCGCCACTTGCCATTTGAATCCCAACGCTCGATCGACCGGTTCCTCCGTTCGAATTTCATCATTTAATTGAAATTCGGGGTGTACTCTAACCCATTAGACTTCCAAATACACTTCCGATGGATTGATAAGACCATTTAAATGTATTTGCGCGACTGAAGCGAGGCACTCTAACCAAAAGCACTAGGTAATGGTGATATGGACATGAGGGTGGACCTCCATGACATGTGGAATTTCGAAAGAATCTCTAAAGAACTTACAGAGCTACAACAATTCAGTACATCTTTAAAATCTAAAAACATTCATGATCCATATTTTTAAAACTTTAAAAATAAATCGGAAGCATTGAGGTCCACCTTGGAGGTAGTAGAGAGCTACTTGACCTTCCCGATAATGTCCAGCAGGAAGGGCGTATAGTAGGTAATAATGCAGTCGGCTCCAGCACGTCTGAATCCCTTCATGGCTTCCAGAACGGCTTCCTGGAGATCGAAGGCACCCGCTTTGGCGGCGTGGTAGAGCATCGCATACTCGCCGGACACCTGGTAGACGTACAGCGTGTGGAACGGATAGAGGTCCTTAGTGGAGCGCAGGATATCCAGGTAGGGCATGCCGGGTTTCACCATCAGCATGTCGGCACCCTCTGCCACGTCCCGTTGGATGGCCCGCATGGCCAAGCTCCGAGAACCACTGGGCAGCTGGTAGCACCGGCGATCGCCGAACTTTGGAGCAGACTGGGCTGCCTCCCGGAAGGGGCCGTAGAAGTTCGACGAGAACTTGGCGGAATAGGCCAGAAGGGAGACCCTGGACATTTCGGCGTCAATCAGGGCCTGCTTGATGGCCTTCACCCGGTTGTCCATCATGTCCGAGGGAGCCACAATGTGCGCTCCGGCCTTGGCATAGGCCACGGCAATCTCGGCAATCCGCTTGATGCTCGGGCCGTTCTCCAAGCCGGTCTCGCTCAGCAGGCCGCAGTGTCCGTGGGACGAGTAGGGGCAAATGCAAACGTCGCAGGCAATCAGCAGGTCCGGGAACCACTCCCGCAGTTTAGGAAGAGCCCGCACCACGGGATTCTGGGCAGAGTCCGCGTTGGAGGCCTCCTCGTCCTTCAGCTCCGGTTCGACCACACCGAACAGCAGAACCGAAGACAGGCCTTTGGCCACCAGTGGCTGGAGGTGGTCTCGCAGCCGGTTCAGGCCAAACCGAGAGATTCCCGGCATGCTGGCAATCGGCTGCACATCGTCGTCGTTGCTCACAATGAACAGGGGGTACATCAGGTTGTGGGGGGCGATCTCGCAGCCCGACTCCTGCAGCAGGCGCAGGGTCGCGTGGTGCATGCCACTATGCAGTTTTCGCTCCATGGTCTCCGGTTCGTTCCAGGTGGATCCAACGTAACAAGTGAAACCTGCCCTCGAGTGCTCCCGGCCATTTTTAGGGTCTATTGTTTTTTGGTATTTTCCAACACTCCCCAACAAAACGTTAGGGTGGACCTTGATGAGACAAAGCTAAGGCCTTCAAATAAATGAAGATTTCTATAAAAAACTATTGATTTTCTTTAATTAATAAAAACAAGACACTCTGCATAAGACTATTTATTACTTTTTAAGTACTCTTCTTTAAAATGTTTTGGTATTTATCATTATTACAGCATTAAAAGTTGGTGTTTACTGCTACCATTGCTAGCCTAGCCTCACACCCTCATCCACACCTTACTCCGGCCGAGCCTTCAGATACAATTCTTCAGATTTCTTCCATTAATGGTAACTAAACATACGCTCTACATATACAAGATAGATAGTAGATATACACGTTATACGAAAATACTACAAGTAGGGTGCCAACATTCTATGCTTAGGCTTAATTCAAACAAAACATGAATACATAAGATTTATTCAGCCTGTACCGGCCTCAACTTTTGACTTAATTTTATAGAAATTTATCATAGAAATCAGTTAAGAGTGGACGAGAAACGGAACTAAAGCCTAACTTAAGCGTAAACGAATTGGGTTCAATATTTGGTTTGGTTTTCAATTGTAAGTAACAGCCATTGGAAGTGCGTGTTTCCTTTGTTTCATATTTTTGTTTTTAGCTTTTTTGGATGATGATTTCGATGATGGCGATGGCGCTTCTCAGCTTGTGCTCTCTCAGCTGGACTACGAAACCAGGGCGTGGTGGTAGTGCACCCGCTTTTGGCGGCGTCTTCGCCGTGGCTTCATAGCCTCCTTTTCCTTATCCTCCTCCTGGTTCTTGTTCTCCTTATCCCTATCCTTTCCTCCGATTTCCGACGCCGCTCCGTGCAGTGTAACTGTGTAGGAGTGCAGCGGGAGTGGGCTGATGATGTGTGATGCTGGTGTGTGGCTGGAAGTAGCTACTGCTGGTGCTGCTGCTGCTGCTGGGGTACCTCCTTGAGCTGGTCAGGCGAAGGTCACTTGATAGAAGAGCCACTCTTCCATGAACGACGGCACAAAGGCCTTGGTGGTGGTGAACTTGACCTTGGGACGCAGCAGATCCAGCTGCTCCTCGAACAGGCGCAGGCCCACAGTGCAGGTGGACCCGTTTCCGTGGGTCAGATACTTGCCGTCTGGCTTCAGCACCTTGAACGAGTGCTCGAAGATGGTGCGTATAAAGTCCCAGGTCTCTCCCTCGGGCGTGTCAGTGATGGGTATGTCTGTCAGATCCCCAAAAACATAGTCGAACTTGCGGCCCTCGGCGATGAACTTCTTCAAGTAGTCGACGCAGTCGCCCACAATGATCTCGTACTGGTCGGTCTTTCGCTTCTCCAGGACATCGCCGCAGATGACGCTGAGGTACTTGTTGCACGCCTGCATCACCAGCTCGTCAATCTCCAGCATGACCACGTGCTTAGGGTTCTCCTTGAGCAGTTCGTACAGCAGGGCGCCATCTCCGCCGCCCAGGATGCAAATCTCCTTGCCCTCGTAGTTCTCCACACCGCGGCACATGAGGGTCTCCGTGTAGATCAAGTCGGATTCAGCAATGTCTGGATAAAATGTGGAAATTAATCTTTGCCTCCTTGCTCATCTGAAAACTTACTTTGCAGCTCGTCCAGCAGCAGCATGTTGCCCAGTGTCTTCGAGTGCATGATCTGGATCTTCTGGAAGGGCGAACGCGCCTCGTACACCACCTTGTCGATGTCGTACTCGATGATGCGCTCATCTGGGAAAGATTTTAGAGGATTAGTGGGGCAAACTAGGAACCATGGAGGAGTGATTACATATACTGATTTTAGCTCAATTATTAGGAAGCGAGGCATGCAGAGAAACAAGTTAGAGAAAAGTGGATTAGCATGCCAGAAGGGAAAACACAACAAAAACGAGATTCTGATAATCTGAGGTCTGAACGAAAAATGGCTGAAATGGTCTATCATGCTGGGTGCCGTCTAGAAGAACTCTCAGAACATCAGCTGATCGGTGGAGGTGGAGGTGGTGCGGCATACGCTCAACGAGATTCATACACACACTTGGAGTATGGAGTACATATAGTAGCGGTAGTTGCTAGTAGTTGCTCTAGATATGGGATTGGCCTTACCTGAGGATGGGAAGTACCTGGCGACATCGCCGCGCTTCAGCGCCGGCAGCTTCTGGCCCTTGACAGCCTTCAACTTGAGGGCCAGGACCTTCTCCAGTCTCATGGTGCTCTTTATTTGGTTTTTTTGGTTTTTTGATCGAGCATGATATTGTGGTTCAGGTTGTACATTATATCGAATATCATATAATGAGGATGTGCGTTCGGGGCAATACAGTAACGATATTTTCAATTTTTTACACATTGGTGGCAATTTTGGTGTCCAGGAGAAGATGTTGTTCATGATGGTCGATGATTCGATAGTCGATTGAAATATGAAAATAAAAATAAAGTTGAGTTTTAAATAAAAATCTTGAATCTTGAAGACCTTCTAGGAAAGAAAGTAAAAGTCCTTAGGGGGAACTAGCATGCAGGAGGTGGCCATGAAGAGGGGTGGGTGCAGGTATCGAATTTTCAGATGAATTTACATGGCGACCCCCCACCCCGGGATCCAGCAATCCAGGCAGGTGGCCACTTCGTGGGTAATTTTTTTGGTTTTGGTTTTGCGGTGGCGGCAATAGTCGGATATAGTACTAGTGGATTAACTGCACGGGTGTTCTAGATTCTGCAGTGGAATTTTGAAAGAGAATTTCGGCATATATTGTAGATTGTAGTATGTAGAGTGAGAGTACGAGTTGTATTTATTTGCATAATGGAACTAGCAAGTAAGAACTAAACTGGGTTGGTTTTTTTTTAATGGGGATTATAAAGCTACATTATAGTTGTTTGACCAACCTGTGCTAGTCATATAATTGTCAATATATCCACCGCGTTTTATCGGGGGCAAGTACTTGGACCGATCGGAATCGAATTTTTGCCTCAAAATCAGTTCCATTGTGCGCATGGTCTGCAAAAAGGGTAATTTCCTTTTATTCTTCAAGTCCTTGAGAGGCGAAACTACATATATGTGTGGATGTGAGTGAGTGGAGGATAACCTTCAGATGCCGCGGGGCAGAACTCTTCAAACGGCCCACCACAGCTCGGCCCAACAAATACTATTTATAGTCCAAATACTTGATACATTTTTTTTTTTGAAAAAGGAAAGTGAACGGAACACGAAAAGGGAATATATAGCAGACATACATATAGTGGAGGTGCATGTGCAGGCACATATTGCAAAATGGCAAATAATTACAATAGCCAAGCCCCAAGTTCTATCCCCCCAAACAGGCTGGTTGTGAAATCCAACCGAGAACCGAGAACGACGCCGCCGGCTAGATAAGGAAAGTTCCGCGAGCCCCAAAACAGCTGCGCCCAAGACATCAGTCGAATGGAAAATATTATTAACATTTTCCTAATAATCTTTGGAGTGCCAGGCGCTCATTTTATAAACTATCTGAATACATATCCAATTACACAGACAACTGGCATTAAATATTTTAAATTCTAGTTCTAATAACTTGCCCGCAACTGTTAGTCATAAGGTTTATGGTTTTTCTATTCAAAATATCGAAAAGAAAGTGTTTTATTTTGGGAAAGCTGACTGAAAATAGTATTTGGGAAGCTCGGGACTAACACAAGAGACTTTATGCTGATTAGTTGTTGTATAAGAACCTAGGCCTACTGCCGCATCAATCAATAAATCTCCCGGCGGACCCACGTGCGAGTTAACCTAGCAATGCTGCCAAGAATGGCTGGGGGAGCGACCGGACAGGGTACGAGGTGTTAGATAATAGAGAAACATGGAAGTGGGTTGAAGCCAGCCACTTGAGGCCAAGGCCGGTCGCACTGACCCTGACCAAGTGACGATGGTTTGCCAGACACAAGACACACCCACCCCGCTCCCCACTCACACACACACCCTCGGAAGTGTGGTGGGGCTGGTGTGCGGAAAATCAATTTTGCTTGGTGGATGGAGAGCCCTTTGCCAATCTTAATCGCCAAAGACACGGTCTGGGGAGGCAGGTGGGTTTTTTTTTCGCCTTCTATATACTAAAATTCCTACGTACTTCGAAGGATAGGACCGGCTCCTTGCCCTCCGGCAGGAAGTACTCCACGTTGAGCGTCAGGAGGCCGTGCTGGAAGATCCGGACCGTGATCACGGTGGCCTTGTTCTCGTGCAGGACTGCAAAGTATCCGTTATCCGGAGATTCCATGCAGTAGGCCAGCTCCAGCTGAGGGAAGATGTGCTCCAGCTCGTTCCGCAGGATCTTGGCCACATCCTGTCGCTGCTTCTCATCGCTGGTTTTGTCCTTGTCCAGGGTGAAATCAAAAAGGATTGTCTGGGCCGCCATGGTGTCCCGGTGTCTGCGATTGCTATTGTTAACGAAAAAAATAAACAGATTTAAACTCGCCCGCACCGAGGTCCGCCGCGTCGAGTTGGTTTTACGAGAAAATTTCTCGGAGAGATAGTTGCGGTTGCTTATATAGAATTTCCGGTTTTAGAGGGCCCATTTTGCAAAGGAGAAAAAAATACCATAAAAAGTCTCTCTGTTGGTTCATGTCTTTGCTTATCAGAAGATAGCCGCTATCCAACACTGCATTTGGCGCGATAAATAGCAGTCTATTTTTTAAATGAATTTAACTAAAAAAGGATAATAATAAAGCGTTATTTGGTATTCAATGCTATAAATATCAACCAGTCATTCTTCTTTAAGGCCCCATTGTAACGCATATTCATACAGGTAAGGGCTCTCAAAATCTGCCGAAAGTTAATTTAAATAAGAGTTAATTTAACTATATAAGAATAAATATCCTAGTTGACTAGGATCCTAGAACCAACTAACTAATATATTAAACAGGAAATTCTGAAAAAGAAATAACAGTAATTAGTGTGACCATCCCGTAGCCTATCGAAAAGCTATCGATAATCTACCACCCACTTCTTGTCAACCCCAACCTCCCACTCTGTTTAGAACATTTCCCGTAAACAACGCCGAACGCGAAATGCGGTGCCGTTGACTGAAATTACACGAATTACATAAATGCGGGCAGCATAGAAGCGCACAGTGCGCCGCAGGTACAGTGAATCCCGGACTTGATGGGGGAACACCAGAAGCGAAGGCGCTAAAGGAATCTCAGGCACCTGAACCTGAACTTGAACACTCGCGTGTGGTTGTTGGTGCTGCCGATGGCTTTCATGCTAGACGTAGGCCAACAAACAACAACAAGGCTGCTGGCTGGCGGCAACAATGGGCTGCTAATTATAAATCTCTCGATCCCAGAGAATCACAGATGCTGAGACATTCGGATGTGTGGGCGCCGCAGCATGCCAATGTTGTTACGTCGTCAACGAAGCACCCTTCACCGACCCACCGCCACCGCCACACCACCCACCCTGCCCCCAGCCACCCTCGTTGTGTTTTTTGTTACTTTCGCGGGGGTGTCGCCATCGTCGTCACCACTTTTATTGCCATGTGTATTGATTTTCTGAATCCTTTCAGGTCCTTCCGTGGCACAGCTCCCTGGTGGTCTCCTTCAGGTGAGCCGAGCGAGTGAATTGCAGCCTTGGTGCTCCCAGCTCAACCAGCAGTGTTTGCATTCATTAAAAATCCCGCAGCACGCAACCCGACAGCACCCCAATTAGCCAGATTTGCCCGCCTCTGCGCCGTGGCGACGTCATCGCCAAGCCCAAAATAATTTGCATTGGGGCAAGCCACAGCGACGGAGCAAAGTCGCATTTGCATTTGCATTGCGCGCTCTCGATGACGTTTGGCAGTACTGTTTGTATAGCCAAAGGCTAGGCATGCCAGAAGCACCACGAGGGAAACAATGAGCTCAGTTCGAGTTCGAGACCAGATGGCCCTGATTAGCCCAACAAAAGCCAGCGCGTGATGTCCACTTAGCACCTCGGATTGTCAATTTTCGGGTAATAATTAGTGCCACCATGCAGCACAGCTCGGCGGGAAGTGAGGAGCGGATCACCAGCTCGACCAGCAGCCCGCGGTCCGGTCACAAATCGGCTGGATCCCTGTTCGGCCTGCTGAGCAAGCGACCCAGCAAGGTGGAGCCCCACCCCGTGACGCCCGAGTCCCCGGCCAGCCAACGACGCCCCCTTTCCGCATGCGGCCAGTACGATGTCAGCTTCGCCAAGTGCAGCGCCGACTCCTCGGCCAACCACGTGAATAACAACAGCAACCACAAAAGCCAAACCTTGCCGCTGGAGAAGTCCCACAGTGGCCTGATCAGCTTCCACCGGCGCACAAAGCCGCCCTCCTCGAAGGGTAAGGCCCACGCGCACCGCCACAGCACCGACGCCGGCTCCCAGAGCGATGGTGGCACGGATGTGGTAATGCGGCGCAAGTCCCCCAAGCACCGCTCTCCAAACCACAACAGATTCAGCCACCAGTTCAGTCTGTGCTGCAAGGCTGAGAAGAAGCCCCTGACTCCACCGGTCACCGTGCGTTACAATTCCATACCGGACAGCAACAATGTCCTACGGCGGGACAACCTCTCGCTCAGCTGGAGCATGGTGGACAACAACTCGGTGTCCCTGCACTCCAGCGAAGGATCTACCCAGCGACCGCGACCCTCCAGCGAGTGTGCCAGTGCCCCAGAGTCGCCGGTGGCCAGCAAATCGTTTTTCCCACAGTGCAGTGGAGCAGCGGCCTCTGCCTCGGTGGCCAGGAGCGAAAGCTTGCAGCACAGATCGCCCATACGACCCATTGCGGTCTCAGCTTGCCGGTCGAGGCTTAGACTGAAGCTCTACCCACCGGGACAGGAGCTACCTCCCTTGGACGCCGCCGAAGAACCGGGAGACATCAAGAGAGCCACCACGCCGCAGCACATGTCGTCGCCCAACATTGCCACCCAACCGGATGGTATGGATCCGATGCAGGAACAGCTTGGGGTACGCTATATGTCCCATGAAAACATGACCCTGCAGCGCCAAGGATCGGGCTCTAACCTGGCCAGGCAGACCTTGATGGCGGCTCACGCCCTGAATCTTATACCGGCGGAGAAGGCCCGGGAACGCAGCTACCTGGACGGGCGACTTGGTTCCTCTTCCCTGCTCGGACCCAGTGAGCTGAGTAGGGTCTTGCCCCAGAAGGAGGTGACCATTTTCGTGGGAACGTGGAATATGAACGGACACCATCCGCCAAAGTAAGATGCTTCTATTGGCCACATTAGTGGAAGATTTAACCAACCATTATTTTATTTAGGCAAATGAACGACTTTGTGCTGCCGGCTAATGTGGAACATGTGCCGGATATCGTGGTGGTTGGCACCCAGGAGTCCACGCCAGACCGCTTCGAGTGGGAGGTGACCATTCAGGAGACTCTAGGGCCCTCGCACGTGCTATTCCACTCCACCACACTGGGAACCCTTCACCTGGCCGTCTATATGCGGCGGGATCTTATCTGGTATTGCTCCGCCCCGGAGGATGCTTCAATGTCGGTGCGGACGGGATCTGCCTTTCGTACCAAGGGAGCGGTGGCTATATCCTTTTGTCTGTTCGGGACTTCCATGCTGTTTGTAACCTCCCACTTGACGGCCCACCAACAGAAGGTGAAAGAGCGGGTCTCGGACGTCAAGCGGATCATCAACGCACTAGATCTCCCGCGGAATCTGCCAAACCTACGACACAAAAACAAGGATGTTACCCAGAACTTTGACAATGTTTTCTGGTGCGGTGACCTGAACTTCCGCCTGGGCGAGCCGCGGGAGAAGCTTCTGGAGTGGATTCAGAACACCAAGTTCCCGCTACCGTCGCATCTGCCGCACGGCTACATGCACACAGATCAGTTGTCCTCCGTGCTGGCGGATGGAGCCGCTTTTCGTGGATTCATGGAGGCAAACATCACATTTCCACCCACGTACAAGTACGATCCGGGCAGCCAGAACTTTGACACCTCATCCAAGCAGCGGGCTCCCGCCTATACGGACCGAATTCTCTACAAGTACCGCCAGATGCAGGGCCTAGTTATCCGGCGGCAGACGATCGTTCCGGGCGTCTCCACGCCCACACAGCCCTACGTGCAGTGTCTGCTGTACGACTCTGTGCCGTCGATAACCACTTCGGATCACAAGCCTGTTTGGGCTCTGTTCCGAACGCTTATTCGTGCGGGAACCGATGCGTAAGTGGATCTGGCTTAGATAATCAAAGATATGATAATGTTTTGATGTTTTATTTAGAATTCCCCTAGCTGCTGGCCTCTTTAGTCGCGACATTTACCTGGAAGGAATGCGTCGGCGGCTGAATAACCAATATACTGGAGCATCGGCAGTCTGCGTCCTGCAGTAAACTAACCAAAGAATCTATCCCATTTCCCCGAAGGAAAAAAGAAACTTCCCTGTAGCGTCCTACCGTCCTGCAGTGGAATGCGTTGGGTCATTTACTCGAATCTCTAAGTGCTAGTCAAAGCTTTCCTACGGTTGTGTGACGCCTTTGTAATGCCCCCCGTTAGAATGTTAGTGTATCTTGGTGCGCTCTGGGATATCGTTCGCTTCGTGATGCTGCGGTAGTCCTAGGCGCCTCTGCCTTTCGCCTCGAGGCCTTAGTCGTAATACGTTCCTTGTGAGATTATTGAATGCAACATACTCGAGCAACAATTCTGTACCTCTACTCTAAAGCACAAGCCTAGTCCGTAGTTAAGCTAAATCTGTTAAAGCTAAAGTTTAGTCAAAATATTGAACTATTGAACTCTGAAATCGAAATGAATTACTTTGAATGCATAAACTAGCATAAATATACATACATACTTATATGAAACTAGATCGAATATTGTTGAATCTCTACTATTAGCATTATTTATAATTTTTATTATTTAGTTTGTAAACGAGTTATTGTTGAATTGTCACTAGTGAAGTTGATTATTTTTATAATTTTAAATATGCCAAATGCCAAATGAAGTTTTTAATTTGTTTTAAGCACTCCATACGTTTCTGTTTGCCTTTATTAAACGATTTAACTGTTGAGTTTTCCCAGTCTCCTCGCTTAAGCATCAATATTTCAGGATGGGGATGCGCTCTGTTTATTGCCCCGAAAATGCGCCAAAAACGACCAGAGCCGGCCAGCCAACCCCGGGCTCCACAACCCCCAAAACACACACGCAAATATGTTAAACTTTTGACCAATTTCAACTTGAGTTGGTTGCCATCGGACACACTCCGGGGCAGCAATTTATTGGATGGCGATTGGATGCCAGTACCCAGTTTCCAGTCCCAGCAGTGCCAGCGGGCACCGCCACTTGTGCGCCATACAAGTGGCCTCGCGGTCTCCTACCACCGCTGCCGCCACTCCTTGTTCACTTCGGTATCCGAAACCCACCCGCCTCCCAGCTCCGATATAGCCAAGCTGTTGGCCATTTGCGGTTACGGCCATATGCGTGTGTGGGCAGAAGAGTTTTGAGCGAGGGCGGTTCTTTGAATATCAAATACTATTTCAGAGGTGAGATTTTATTGTAAAGAATTAAGGTAAGAATATATATTTTAATAAAATATAATTATTAATATTTAAGACATATCTTACTCAAAAGATTCTATTTGCATCACTTGTATTTATGAGACCCACCTCGATTGTATGACTTTTCATGCCAGTCTCCCGGCGGCCACTTGTCCAAAATCCTTTTTCGAAAACGGTTTTCAAGAAGTCGCTGATTGAAAACCCCCCCCCCCCAGTCGTCCTGCTTTGAGTGGCCCATGAGGACTGAACTCTTGCGGGGCCCTAGAATTTGTTAACAAAAAAAAAGAGGAAACAATTTCGAATGTGCATCGTTTTTGTGCAGTTTTTTCACTGCGGTCGGCGAATGGCATTGCTGTGTCCTGGGTCCTGGATTCCGGGTATTATTGTTTTTTCTGCTGTCGGTCGGTGCTGTAATTCATAAAGTTTTCGGAGCATTGCATACTTTTTGGGGCACATTGGCTGAAATTAGTTCGGCGTCGGTTTTGTGGCAAAAAATTGCATATGGAAAGTGTTGGAAAAAAACTGAAGCTCATTTCCTTTTGGCATCTGCATAGCCAGTGCGAAAATTTAACCACAATATATGAAATTATATTATTATTAGACTTGGAGGCAACTGGGCGTATGGAAAAAACTATGCCCCTTCTGTATGTCTGCACATTAATATCCTGTGCGCATCCGTACGTGTTAATATGACTTTATGACTTCATATGTGTCCATATTTTTGTCGTCGCCGCTTCACACACTAAAAAGTTTTATTGTTAGTTATATGATGGTGGCTCCTGCCAGTGCCTCTGTTGCTGCTACTTCTGCTTCCATCCGCCATCAAAGCAACCATTTTCATTCACAGCGCCGGAGATGCAGAAATTATTAAAAAATTCTCCCCAACTCGTATCTCAGGCACTCGTTTAGCACCGTCACAGACTGAACTTTTTCATATGTAACTGAGAGATGGCATGGATGCAGTTTGCCGCCGTGAAAAGACCCGTTCTGATGGATGTGAGTCTTCGGGTGACTTGCTAGGAGCCATACAGTGGGCCTACAGGGCGTATGCGTGATATTTAGTCTGCCTTGTATTTTATGCCAATTAAGAATAAGATAGGTTTATTATTCAAAGTATTATTAAGTATTTAAGATGCTTTTTTTCAAATTCTTACAAATTCTTAAAAATCAATTCTGTTCATTTTTAAAGCTTAAACTAGTGCCTGAGCCCATTTCCCTACGGAGTCCTGGCTCCACATTAACGTACGCGAAACTCGCATGCTGGCACCCTTCTTAGCGGCCCCCTTCTCACACCACACCCCTGGCCTTATCCTCGCATTCGGCGAAGCCACTTGAATGCTTATTGTACATTTCAAACAACTCTATTACGAATATTTTTCATATTTTCTTGGCAAGTGGGGCACAGCAAAAAAGTTAACATTAAAAGCGAATGGCGGTGCCGAAAAGGCAGCCGGAGTGACTTTTTCGCGAGGATATCCATGGGGATTGGGCATTGGGGCTTGGGGGTTGGCAGCCAGGAGCCAGGACGGGGGGCCGGTCAAAGCAACCAATTCGCATGCGGCACGTTACATTTTCGCAATAAAAAACGAAAACCGCTTTGCATGCATCTGGAGGAGACTGTGACTCGCACTTTTTCCAGAGGATACAGGGATACGACGGGAAAGGCAAAAGTAATAAATGTACGTGCCGCACTAGCAACAACACGGGGCACGAGCAGAAGGAGCTGGAGGAGTGGAACGTCCTTACAGACAACAGACAGGGACGCATCGTGTCAATTTAGCAAGAGGAAGTCAGGAGAAGCTAATCACAGACTATAGGAATACCCTTAAAATTATAATAGGAATTATAAGAAGTATTCTTCTTAAGCTAATAAATCTCTTGGCTTATTTATGATTTCCAAATCTATTACTTCCAAGGCTCGTGAAGTATAAGAGTCTCAAGAAAACTGAAATTCCCTCAGATATTCTACAGTGATATAGAGTTTCCGTATCCGCCTCACGATCAGCATGCATGGATACGAATGTGGAATACGAGTATATGTAATAAATATAAACTACGATTTTTAGCGACTACCCATGCCCCGCACCCTCCATCCATATCCACCGAAATTCCCTTTCTTCAGTCGCTGTTTTCTATTATGCGAATACTTTTTACCAGCGTTTCTTGGGGGTGTCCTGCACCCAGGGAAAAAAAAGGAACCAAGGAGGAGGAGCTCGAGCTGACGGGGCGGAGTCTGTGGCGACGCACCACTCTCGTGTTTGAAGTAGCTTTGGATTGTATAAAAGTAACCATAGCTACCATAATTTAATGAAAACATAATCTGCATTTCAGCAAAAAGAAAATCGTAGAAGCCAAAGCCAAACCCGCGAGTGAAAAACCCTTGACGAGGGAAAATGGCAGAAAGCAGCGCGTTTGGAGCTTCCCCTAAAAAAAAAAGCGTATTAAATGGCCACAGGACTGTTGAGGGTTTTCAGGACTTTTGTTGGGCGTTGAGTATTGCTTTCCAATAACAGAGAGTATCTATTATCAATACTCTAATGGTACTAGCTCCTTGACTAGATAGATAGATATTATTAGAAATATGCAAATATGTTTAAAGATTTCTTTATTTATGGAAGTCAGAGATACTATACTCTGCATTAAGGCCATTAAGCATCCTTCCTATTCACAATGCAATTAATATCCTTTTCTCTGACCTAATCGAGTTCCTTTTCTTGAAGTTAATATTTTTGAAGGCTTTCGGCAACTATCTTATCCGCAAAGCCATCGGCAAGTATCTGGTTTCGTTTTTTATTGCCATTGTGCTCTCCATTCAATTTTCTGTTTAATTTTTTTTCGCCGGCATTTTTGACGATTCCTTTGCCAGGATCTTGAATGTATTTGCGTGGCAGCAGAACCAACAACTCGAGCAGCGACTTGAGTAGCTCGCAGCAAAGTTTCCTAGACAACTCCTTCAGAGAAAAAGAAAAGCCGGGGCAGCGGGCAAAGAACGAAAGTCGAGGGACTGCCGGCTAAATATCCTTTAGCCTTTGGAAAATCAGTAAGGCGCAAAGGACCACTTGGGAATACGCTTTGATGCGCGCGGCTTTGTTCGCGAGTGTGACTGATGTTTGTCGCTGATGTTGGCGTTTATATTTTATTTATTTTTTTTGTAGCCAAGGGTACGGAGGCTAGGCTCACCCACGCCAACCCTCGGTATTGTGGGTGCTTTATATTTATTTATTTTAACTTGCAGAAGCCGCCTCCGCTTTTCAAGTATTTCGTAAGCAGCGTCAAATTCGCGCGGGAAATGTAATAAAAACATTTTTTCCAGCGGCTGCAGCTCCAGCTTCTACTTCTGAAGGAAACATCTTATTCCCTCCGTATACTGCAGCCGATTTCTAGCCCAACTTCTGGCTTTGGCAGCTACTGGAGCAAAGTATCTACAAGATATTTTTAATACATGCTCGCGACTTTCGCCGGGCAAGTGTGTAGGTCCGTTCACTTCATCCGAACATCCATCCAGGCATTCATTTGATGTTGCCGGCTATATTTTTACATTATTGGGAGCATAATAAAAGAAATTCCAGTCATATGCAAAGTATGCGATGCATTTTAGTCTTGTCTTTTATTTTCTGTTTGGTGTTTTGCCCAAATTACGTCTATGTTGCAATTCAAGTCGAGTCTCCCTTTAAGTGTCTACCCAAAATTTGCATATTAAACGACTCGTATCTCGGCTTGTTTCTCATTTGCATCTGGCTTTCCGTTGAGGCAACACCTTGCCAGGCGACTGGAAAGTCAATCTCCATCCAGCTGGAGCCACTGAACATTCATTGTCTTGAACTACGCCCCTTTGGTGTCTGCCAGGCCTGACAGCTCCGGATTCAGGACGACTCTGATGCCTGCCAAACATAGCCGAGAAAAGGCGACGATGAGGAGGATTGGGTCTCCAGTTCATGTTCGATATACCATCTGTCGGGCTTTGCAATTCAAATTTCGGTTTCTGGCATCTTGGGCGAAACCAGCAAGGGCAATAAATTTCAAAGATATATGCTAGTTAAAGGATACTTTACAATTTAAGGATTAAGTGTTGCATTCTGATAGCATTAACTCTGAGAGAGGGAAAGGCCTATCTAATGTAAGGTTTCTTTCTATCAAAGCTGTGCCATATGGCTGCTTGTTAAATAGAAAATTTTTCTCATTAGATTACAAGGCTGGTCAAGATTGGAGGCACACTTTGGCCGGCCACTTTCCGGCCTATTCGAAACTCATTAGTCGCTATCCGAACTGGCCAAGTTTGAACTAATAATGTGGTCGGCAGCTCAATTGAAGGAAATTTTCAATTTCAACGGCCTCGAGGGTAATCTCCTCCTGGGTTCCCAAAGAGTGCCAAGTGGCGGCGGCCAAGTCGGCACAGCCAAGTGGCCAATTACGGCAATTCAGCTGGCTTCCCAGGACATCCACACAGACACACATGGCACAAAACCAATCTCAATCTGTGGCATCAAGTAGACAAATATAGACTATTGTATGCCTATGCACGTAATGCATTCCCATCTACCATCTCCATGTGTGTCTCCATTTGGCATTCAAAAACTGTGCGTCTGTGCGATTTTGACGCATATTTGCCAGGCCCAGGACCCTCTGGCCCACAGCCTCTTAACAATCATTGATACGAACATTTGGTCACTGGGAGAAATAGGTGAAGGTTTCTCTATTCTAAACTTAGTCCTATCCTTTACACTTTTAAGAAAGTTTTTCTCTAAGTGCCATTTTGTTTCTGTAAGCGGCAGCAGCCGGCTAAAATGCACAATTGCTTCATTTTGCAAAAGGATTTTATTAAACCCGAACCCGAGTGAAGTTGAAACCGAAGCAATGTGTTGGTCGATAAAGGCAAGTGCCATGCTGTTTGGCGCCCAACTAGTGGGGAGGGGGCACCCAGGAAAGTCCTGGCAGCCTTTTCAAGGATCCCAGGCAATCGAAGTCGATTCGAAGCCAGCCCGTGTGCGTGTTTTGGCTCTTGCCTCTGCCTCTGTTTGCGTAGTTATGGTAAATATTCATATTTGTAGCGTGTGCGCAATGTGTTGAAATTAGCATTTATGAATTTTGTGCCAAATGTCGAACTCAAACACTTACGTGGCACGTACACACGCACACATGATCCTGTGTACAACAAACACAAACTACATGGAGTCCTTTTTGGCTGTATTATGCGAGAGATTCCTGGTTATGGCTTTGTGGCTTTTTTGGGCCAGCGGCTCACATTTAGTCATTGGCCGTCCATTTGCATTTAGATTGCCGCCTCCTGCCAAAAATTCCCCTACCTCCGTGCTGCTCCACAATGATGCCAAACAACTGCCACAAGTGACTTCTTTGAATCGACTTGGTCAGGAAAAGGCCAACCAGTGACATCTGCTGCTCGACAATTTGTGCGGTTGGCAGTTCGTGTTCATGGGCCCCGATTTACATAATTACAAGTGAAAAGTTTTCAGCAATGATTCCGGTTTTGGTCATGTTTTCCAGTCTTAAATTCATTTCGAAAACACAACTTCAATCTGAAAAATACTCACTTCCCACGCTGGCACTTTTAACTATTGTTTCCAATACATTTTCACCCAAAAATCAATGTCCTTTGTCACACGCGTCCTAAGAAAATAAAACCAAATGCACATTTATTTTTCTGACTTTTTCACTGTTTATTGTGCAATTTTCCTTTGTTTTCCGATCTGAGTGCGATTCTGGCTTTTATGGGAAAATGAAATTGATTTTTGATTTTTATTGTTTACATTACGAGCTGGAAATCCCCAAAGCACCAATCAAAAATCAACTTTTGTCAACATTCTGCCCGAGTTGATTCAATTTTGAAAGCCTTTTCTTGGCGTTTTATTTGCCATAATCATTTTGGGGCCTCCAAGTGGGGTTTGATTATCCAAATTGTGATGTTAAGAAGCATATAAAAAAAATGGATAAGCCATAATTCTTTTCATGGAGATTTTGAAGTGATATCCTCGTACATCCTTAATCGATCAAAACACACCGTGACATACATTTCCGAGCCTCGTAGTTAAAGGCCTCTTCCCCGCAAAGCCGTAATTAATTGTGTAATTTGCAAAATTACGAGCGAAAACAGATCTTCCAGCCAAAGTGCACGTGGTTTCATCAAGTGCGGAAGGACAATGCGGATTCCTGGATTGTTTCTTGTATCCTTTTGTTTTTGCCAACGGCCCTTGCACTTATTTGGCCTTGTCCGCTTTTGATTAATGATGCGGACACGGGTTCTGGATCCGCATCTCTTTTTTACGTGAGTCTGAACAGGACTTACATTGCCTAGCAAGGACGGCCAGGACCTTCGGGGTGGCGGCAGCAGCTTCGGGGGTGAACTAATCGGGGGTTGAGTTGTGGAATGGCCCGGCTCTTTGTTTGCCCACTTTGCTGGAACAACATCCCCTGTCATGGATATCCTTGGCCGTATCGGTGTCGCGATTGGGGTTTAATCTGGTTAGCGGGCCTGATGACGCTGCCGACAGCCGGGGAACCGGATAGACCGAGTACCGGAGACCCGGGGAGACGGTGATGTTTAAGCACAATTGCTGTGGCTAATGTGACACATATTGTGACAAATTGCATGAACTTGTTCTTGGCTGGGGCTTTCTTCGAAGGGTGGTCCAGCGGCGAGTTGTGTAAACACGTGTTGCAGTTCCTTGGAAAACAATTAACGCCGCTAAGGACTAAGCTTTAAATCCTTAAAAGGTTTAATCCTTAAACGTACTAAACTAAAGCTTTGATTAAACTAAAAGGCCTAATTTAATTTAATCGTGAGTCTAAGTTTAAATTATCTTAGATTTCTCTTATTTAAGAGGCCAATTTCGGATTAAAGTCTGCCTGAAACTGGTATGCGTTTGTGACCAGGACATGCCGATGCACTCCTCTCCCGTTCCACTAGACTCCGGATGCCAGGAAAGAGCCCAGAGGTTGGGCCGCATTGGCGACACTTTTATGTCAAACGTTCTATCATCGTGGGGAGGTTACGGATACGGATGCGAATGGACCCAGTTACGGTCCTTTGAACTATGCACGACGAATCGGCATTTTACGCTCATTTCCGGGCTCTGCCTCCGGGGGTGGCGGCTGCTGTGTGGCACGAATGCTTTGTGCCTGTCAACCGAGCGGAACTAATTTCAAGGCTGCACCTGCACGGCGGTGGTGCAAGTGGGGTGGTGGATGACGCAAGTGGTGCGAGTGCCCACACCCCCCTGCCACCCTGCCTGGGACGAGAGTACTCCGATTTGCGCATCAGTTTGATTTCTAGCACATTAACATTCTTTTATTTTACAAGGTCTAATTTTGATTTGGGCTTAAAATTCGATGGCCTCCGGAGGCCCTCCGCAGGACTAGTGTTCCATGGCGTCCTTGACGCCGCATTCGCCGTAGGCCTGCAGCTCCTCCGGCCGGAAGTAGGAGCTCTGCATGCTGTAGAGCCGGTCGATCGGATTGATCATCGGCGTTTGGGCGAAAGGACCCATTAGCTGCTGGAAAGTCGCATAACTGAGCCCCAGGATGGTGTTTAAAATGGGCTCGTTGTTCTTGTTGCAGTTTTCTGTGGATTATTAATTAATTTAGTAAAGAACTAAACATGTTTTTAAGTGTATAAGTACCTTTGTTGGTCTCCAAGCAGTTGAAGGGCACTTGCTCCTGCTCATCCTTGATGGTGCAACGGGTTGCCATCCGGCTCATTCCGTCGGAGGCTGTGGAGTAAGGTGACTCCATTTGCGATTCACTGTCGCTGTGGGCCTCGTCCTTGATCTTTGCCGCCAGACTGCTGTCCAGGGACTCCTGCGAGTCCTGCGAATCACTAGCTCCCTTGCTGGGCGGCTCTTGTTTGGCTTTCTTTTGAATCTTTTTTACCTTGGCCCGTTGGTTTTGGAACCATACCTGAAAGGATAAAGGAAGAACTTAAATATATAGACTAATGGGTGGAAAAAGTGAAATGTTTACCTGCACTATCCGCAGGCTCAAACCAGTCTCCTTTGCCAGGTTCTCTCTCACTTTGCGACAGGGCTTTGGCGACACTTCAAAGGATGCTTTGAAGGCTCGCCGCTGCTGCGTGTTCAGAATGGTCCTTGGGCGTTTTGGGCCACGCCTACCGTCCAGCTTGGGCGGAAATAGCTCATCGCCGTAGAAATCTACAAAGAAGCATTTACAAACTAGAAAGAGGAACTAGAGGATGTACTGGAAGGTCCTACCATATCCTTGTAGCATCTCCACCTCCTTCTCGTAGTCAAAGCGACAGAAGAGCTGGCCCTGCTTGACCACATACTGCTCCCCCTTCTTCAGCAGGACCCCGCAGACCACGCAGGCAAAGCACTTCAGATGGAAGACGTTCTCGTGGCAGCGCATCACGAGCTCGTCAGAGGCGATTTTATGACCACAACCAAGGCATCGATTGCGGATGTAGAGCCTGGCAGGAAAGGATTGCAAGATTAAAGTTTACATAAAGAATCAAATGAAACTTGAAGAATAAAACATAAAAGCTTTAAATTTGGAGTGTAAGTTCAACCTTTGGTAGGGAGCAAAGGTCATGCAGGAGTTACACTTACCTCTCGTAGTCAATGCGGCAGTAGAGCTTGCCCTCCCTCGCGAAACAGGAGTGCACCAGGTGCAACGAGCAGGCGGTGCACTTGAGGCAGCCCTCGTGGAAGGAGTTCTCCACCACGCGCATGATGTAGCGATCACAAATTGGCTGGCAGCAGTGGGCGCACTGGCTGGGCGGCTGTGGTACTCCCACGGGCAGGGGTCCTGTGCCCATTCCCACTGCCCCTCCCACTGCCATTCCGATGCCGGTACCCATTCCCTGAGGTCCTTGCGGAGTCGTTGTTGGAGGTGCTGGCGTTGCAAAGCCGTCCATTCCATTGAGGCTGCACTCCCCCAAGGTGATGCGCTGGCAGGGGGGCAGTGGAGGCAGGGATGTCAGAGGGGGTCCTGGTCCGGGCATTTGCTGCTGCTTGTTTATGGGATGGTGGTTGTTGCTGGAAATGTTGCTGCTGTTGTGGTTGGTGCAACTTCCGCTGACGTTTCTGGTGACTGACGCCATTTTGTCATTGTGGGCTTTGCCACTTGATGTTGGACCCACACCCGTGCCTCGACCTGTTCCTGTTCCTGTACCCGGACCACTTCCAGGACCACTTTCTGTTGTCGTTACTGCTGCTGTTGCTGGTGTTGTTAACATGCGTTCATTTCCGTTCAACAGCAGTTGATTGAGGCCCCCAGCCTGCGGTTGTCCTGCCGATCCTGGTTGTCCGGGCCCTCCTCCGGCCTGGTGCTGGTGGTGCTGCTGCTGTTGACATTTTATGTCCATTGGAACTATTTTGGTTTTGCGGTCGTGTCGTGGCCCCGTCCCAGGACATGCAAATGAGAAACATTTCAGATATTTTTATTTTCGCTCCGGCATGCACATTGTGGGCAGTGGATACAGTGTATAAGTGTGTGTTTACGAGCCTGTGTGTGCCTGTATGTTTGTGTTTGTGGGCTTAAAATTTACAATGGCAAAAACTATGCCCCCTGCCAAAGGGATTTTGTATTTGCGGTCCACTCCACGCTGTCCATATAAACTGGGGCCAGTGTCCAGTCCAGAACCGCTGCGAGTTGTAGTAAATTTGTGGTTTTGCAATTATTGAAATGACTTTTCCACTGCACTCGAAATACCCATCAGCAGAAAAAATAAAGAGTGAGGTGAAGGGATAGGCGGGCAAAAAAAAAAAAGCCGGGGAAAATACGGCCTACATGGCGTATGCGTGCTTTTGTTTCGGGTTGGTGGCAAAAATTACTGTACATTTGCGGTGCTGACTGGTTGGCTGTTTGGCTTTTTGTGCCTTGTTGTCTCAATTTATGGCAAATTGCTGAAATTTCACCGTAATTTGTTTCCCAGCTTTTGTGTGTCCTGTATATGTCCTGTGTGTGTCCTGGATGTCCTATGTGTGGTTGTCATGCTCGTTTTTCCGAGTCTTTTTCTGTTGTTTTCGTTGCATTGTCAGGATGTTGGCGTTCGAGTGTTTGAGTGATTTAAATGTGTGTGTAATTTCATTAAATTTTTGCAAACATTATATCTGGTATGCCAATTTATGCCAGAAATATGCGCAGAATGTTAAAGTATTCCAACAATCACATGTGCATTAAAATATTGTTACACCTCTTCCACTGATTGATTTAAATCGCTTTCTCTAACAAGATTGCTGTTTTCAGTTTTGACTGCCAAATTGCACAACCAATTTAATTCAATCCAATGGCTGTTATTCAATTTAATTGAATACAAATCTGTTCTAGCCAGAATATTAGTTTTTGGTAAAGGATATTGAAGGTTTCTAATGTTTTTCTAATACTAGAACAAATATGTTATTGAAATAACAGATAATAGTATGCGGGGATCAAGGAATCACGTTTTGTTTTTATGGCTTCCTGTGGAGTGCTTCTTAATCCTCTCACTTCCATCAAACTCCGGCTTTCGACACTTTGGAATAATAGGAACAATATTGAGAAGTGCAGCGGAATAAGCTGATCTCAGGCCGCACCTGTTACACTTTTGAATCCCTTTGCCCTTTGTCATTTGAAGTTTGACATTCGTTTGAAAATATTCCACCATGTTGACCGGACATGTCAGGGCATAGCCCTCAAGGATTTGCGGCGACAAGTGCAAATCCGACATTGATAGTCCTGTGCTTAGAACACCCACCCTCCACCACCTCCTCCGTTATAATTAGACTCTAATGTGCAGCAGGACCACCCCTTATAACTCGATTATAAATGAATTGAATTGAATCCGGGGCTAACCAGGGCATTTAAATGAATCAACAGGGAGACAGGGAACCGGGAGACAGGGAGGATTTTCACCCTCGAATTTCGAGCCGGGGTCTTATGATTTCGGTTTCGTCGGCTGGCGGCATATGTTGGCAGTCGTCTGCCAGGAAACCCTTGCCAGGATGCTAGGCTGCAGGCTGGCAGGATGCTGTGTGCTGCCGCTGTTTCTGCTCTTGCTCCTGCTGCCGCTTCAGCTCCGGCTCCTTGTACGGCTGCCACTGATTTTGCTGTCAGTTGCCAGCAACTAGAAACTCGCAGCTCGGCAGCAACTGACAGCGTTTTATTTAATCGGATTTGGGCAGACAATGGAAGCTGCTATGCCGCTCAGTTCCGTTCCGATTTGTTGTGCCAGCAATCGGGGCACAAACGCTTTGTTTTGGCCTAATCTCTGACAGAAGTCAAAATTTGTTTTGCACTGGAAAATATGTTGAAATTTGCTCTGGCCCTTGGCCAGTTGGATAAGAGTGACAGAAAAAGGCTCGAGTTGCAGTAAAATATTTATGTTTATTAAAGTAAATAGATTTCCTTGTTTGTCTGAAATGGGTTGAAGTAATTTCCCATATTTGGATTTACTTTTGAATAATTTAGACATTTAAATATCCATTCTTTTATGGAATTTTTTTATAAAAGGTCTTAACGGTGTTAAAGGTCTTTTTAAAAAAAGCATTTTATACCATAAATGGCTTCCACAACAAACACTTGTATCATATTTAAGTCCAGTCAACTTTCTGAGACAACAAAATGCCGACGGAAATGAAGTTCTTTAAAAAAGCCGTCGGCTTTCAGTTTCCCAACCGAACATCCTTTTCAGAAACAGGACTCCCTAGATGCCCAGGATACTTACATATGCCAATCGGCATCGGATGTTGTTCGTCGATCATAATTTTAATTTATTATTCACACTCACAGGTTTCTACATAATTTGTTCACTTAGTTTTAGATGTTTTCTATGCACATTTTATTTCAAAGAACCTCTCTTAAAGGTATCCTTCTTAGAACTTGTTTTTAGACTCGCTGGAGTCTGTGATTGCAACTGGGCAGTGTCTGTCCGGTGGTGTCCGGCAGTATTGGACTCCTTGACCTGGCCCTGTTACGAAACGCGATGCTTGAATGATTACGGACCTCTGATGTTAATGAAATTTGTTAAAAATCATTTGGCAAATGCACAGGCATCTGCCGGGAGTTGGCTAGGAAATTCTCTCTGCACGGAGGAGAAATGGCCAGTCGGTGGCTGTGTGCGTGTGCGCCATTTTGGCCCGAGTCCTTTCCGCGGGCGCCATCCCCTGAACCAGTTGAGAGCCAGCCATTTTCGGCCGTCTTCCCCACCCGTTGGGGCGCATGCGTTGGCCCCGCATCCTTCTGGGAGGTCCTGCGAAGTCCTTAGCAGCTCGGGTGGCGCTTCTGAGTTGTTTTGCCTTTGTTTTTGCACTTTTGACTTTTGTCTTTGTCTTTGCCAGTCGTGGGGCTCGTTGTTCGGGGCTTTTATTTATTTTGTTGTACTATACGTATTTTGTATTGACAAAAGGATGTTTGGCTCGGCGATTTCTTGCTTGCTTTGTCGCCTCAGCTACAACATCCCCCAAAAGGACTCTGCTCTGCTCTGCTCTAGGAATGTTGTTTTTCTCCCTTTTTCTGTTTTTTATTTTTTATTTTCCTTTGCTTTCCACAGTTTTTTCTTCATTTTTTTCGCAGTGGCTTCCACATTTTAAATTTATTGATTTTCGATGGAAGGATATTAAAGTCTAGCCTCTAGTACAGCCATTTGATGGCTTTAGTTCAATTAAAGAGCCTGTCCTGCTAATGACGACGGCTCTTTAAACTTTCGGCCAAATGAATTCCGGTCCATTAAGCCGGAGAGCGCGCCAAACATTAATGTCTAAGCACTTGCCGGTTGGCTGACTACTGACTGCTGCACGTCTAGCTGCGAGATGAGGACTTGTCTGGCCAGGACTCTGGCTGCCTCCTCCGCTTCCCGCTGTTAGCTCCTGCCCAGCTGCCTGGCTGGCTGCCGGCCTGCCTTCGAAAATTCCCAGAAAGTTTCGCAAACGCGAACGTGTTACTTACAATTAGTGTTCGGGCGGGCCATTTGACTGCCAGCCACCTTGGCGATTATGACGGCAATAATTATGTGCGGCAATCGTCGTGATTCTTAATCGCAGCCCGAAACAGGGGTTAGGGTAAATAACTTAACCTCAGGGAGAGATTCATCTGGGGTGTATCATGTGGGCCATTATTAAATTAATAATTTTGTTTCCCTAAACTAGATGTGTGATTTATTGGTTTAATTATTTCATTACTAGAGAGTCATGTCCGGAAATAAACAATTAATGGACTGCAGAACAAAGACAACACGCAAAATAATTAAATAATGGATAAGAAACTAAAATCTCTTAATATGGTAGAAGGGGTATTTTATGGAAATCATAAACACTATTATTTTGGCGCCCCTGGGATTCTGTAAATTCCAAAACATGGCCTGTCGACACTCCGACAGCCTTCGATGCCAAAACTCTGGCACCCGCGACGAAACTTTTGGCACTTTGTCTACACGCCGCCTAGACAAGGCTACAGAAATTCTGGACCCAGGGGGACCCGGGAGCTCGAGACTCGGGGGCGGGGTGCTTGGTATTTGGGCAACTCTCCGATGTCATCGCCCCGCCAGACTTGAGACTTCATACCTCGCTCGGCACTTGCACTCCTGCCCGGCTCCTGCTAATGACAAAGATTAATTTGGGTCACTGTGCTGCCGACAACCGGGCACCCCTTCGTCCCTTCAAAAAGGGGGGACAGGGCACGGGTGCGGCCCCAAACTGTAGCACTAATACACATGCGGGAATTATGCGCGTGCCTTTTGTATGAATGGATGTGCAACCGGCGGTGGCAAGCGGCGGTGGCGGGAAGTGCGGCCTCGGACATTGTTCGGGGTTAATTAAACACGACATGTGTGGCATAGCATGCATTTGTGACGGGGGTGTGGGGCTGCGCCTCCCGCAAGTGCGAACTGTGAACTCCGACCTCCGAATAGGGGGCCTGGCGCTAATCAATGCGCCATAATAGACAAATGGCCCGCCGCCCTCGCTGCGAGTTCATTACGAATGGATTGCCGGCCTGCCGATGCTTTTATGAAGTCTCCATGCCGATTGCAGTTTCAGTTTCTATGGAGCTGGCCAGATAATGGTGGAAAACTGATTTACGAGCCAGGGGATGGGGGATCGTTTTGGGGTTTCGAATAGGTTTTTCATTCAATAGTTTGACATTATTTCTTATAGGCTTGCCAAACCCCAAATACCCATTTAAATACTCGCTAAGCCAATCAAAATTAACCAACATTAACAACAAATTGCAGATGAAAAGCTCAAAAACAATGGACAAATATCCCTGAATGACGTGATAAATTTCTACAAATCCTCGACTATTTCCGCTCTTCAAGTCTCCGAGCGGGGCAGCTGCATTTGTATGCAGGAAAAGCCGCCCCATAAAATGTCCTTACATGAGGATCCCCGCTGCTCTGACCTGACCTGTTGAGCCAATCAGACCGTCAGGGCCAGAAATATAAAAAAACAACAGCAACAAAATAAATAAATAAACAAATATGTATTTATTTATGTGACCCAAGGAGGCGACGGCGGCCCAGCAAACGCAGAATGAATAAAATATTTGGCGTTACAAATTGTTGCGATTTTTTTTTGGCCCAAAGGGATGCGAATCAGGATGCGGATGCTCGGTGGGTGGTGGCAGCTCGCATGGGGATGCTGGGTGGCAACAAAGTAACGCTGAATTATGCGTTGACCAGGACCGAGGCTCTACCAATTCTACGTGGCCGGCGACAGGCCTAAAAAATAAATAAAACAATTTACCTCAAGGCATAATAAAAGTTCATGGCTGACAGTACAAAACGGAGGGAAAATGTGCAAAGTTCAGAGGGCGAATTGGAGGATGCACTAAGAAAAATATGAAGGACCTAGAAGGTATAAATAGAAAGAATCCAAATAGTATAAAAGGGAGCATGTTAAGCAAAACAAAATGAATCTATATTTTGTGATAATTATGATTTTTTATTACGTTTTTTTCTTCAGTGAGAAGACTGGCCAGACGCAAGGATACTTCTTCCAGCCCGGCTGAGTCAATATTTGACGGCAATTTTCGGCTACGTTTCCAATAACCATTACGAATGGCAGATAACACGAAATTGCGAACATTTCCCGCACAGCACCCCACCGCACAGCGGGTTAAAACAAATAGTTTAGCCGAACTACAAATAAAACACTTCCTTGACGCAGCTTGGCTCGGACTCCTTGTCTCCACATCATATCGAATCAGGAAAGCCAAATCGAGGCCCCGCAGTTACCCAGCAGGAGGCCTTTACGGATCCGGGCTGGCGTCTATATCACAATACTTTAAAGCCTGTCGTCCCCCGTA